AAACAAAGGCTTTTTTGTGATGTCACAGAGCTGGAGGACAGCCTCACGCTTTCCGAATGCAGAATATTCAATCGGACAATTCTTCACTTGCATGTTGAGATTTAGATGTTCATAGATATTTCAAACAGGAAGAACGATTGATAATTATGATTTCATTGATCCGGACATTTTGTCTGGTCTTTAGTAGGTATTATCATATTTGGGAGTTTAAAGTTGTTAAAACATTGGACTTTTGTCTTTCTTTTTATGTGGTAAAAACTTTTGAGCATGAGGGAGTTTATGGAATCAACGCTAATGTTTTTGTGGGGTCTTTCGCTGATTTCAGTGGTTTATCTCTATGAAATTTTGATTGGGAATGTCGTCTTGCTTATATGTTCACTGTGTTGAATTGTGTGTCAGTATCTGATGCCTTTCTCTGCCAAGTTTGCCCATGAAATACGAAGGATTGTATCTCGAATTTTTTCCAAAGAACTATTCTCTTTTGTTCGTTTTCTTTTCGCTAATAACCTTTGGGTCGTTTAGTTACCGTGTTTCATTGAAGGTGGTATTTTTGATCAATGATCTAGCGGAGCTTATAAAGTCTTTTCTTCTCTGTTTGTTTATTTTGATATCACATTGTATTCATGCTCGTCAACCTACAACGCTGCAATGGAATAAAATCAATGATCTTTTCCGTGAAGGATGCTAATGAGAACCGTGAAACTAATGCTGTGAGACTTCAATATTTATACTAAAAGTATGCCTAGTTTTGACTTGTTGCATGATAATCTAAAAAAGCATAGTTCACTTTCCAATTCAATTATTTATCAATGCTCTATCATCTACAGCATTCGCACTAGAGAAACAAGAAGGATGATCAGTCTTTTTGATATATTACAGTGGCTCAAGTTACAAGGAATGTAAAGATCATTGTAGATTCAGATTCTGTGGCAGTATTACATAAAACTATTCACTCTATTGAATACAAGAACGAAGAAAATCTAAAGATTTAATTCAATGACTACCCTTTTAGGAGTACAGTTAGGTGGTAGTTCCTCGTGTTGAATCAAATGATTTTGATCAGCAAATACCTTCTTGCTTTCACAGCCTATTCGTTTCAGAGGCACAATGCTCGGCATGTAACTTGTGTGAAGACGCCAGGTACTTGAAACTGCAGGTTCCTCGTACATCTTGCACCCTTCTTCAAAATTATTTGCTTCATCGTACAGGATCATCACATCGTGTAACCAAACCTGCAAAGCATCGTCGCGTTGCCACAGGCCAACGAGTCTCGGAAACCTAGAAGGTGTCCCTGCCGGTGCGCGGGGGAGCTCAATGATATGCGTTCTTTCCCAGGAAATTATGTTGTGGTATTCCTTGAGAGTCCATATCTTGATGTCTGACTCTGAAGTAATGATGACAGAGATGCCCTCTTTGAGCTGTGTGAGCTGCAACTGACCGTCGTTGTTCGGAACGTTGTCTATTACCTTACCCTCTTCAGTTCCGAGGTCGATAGATAACAGGTGCAAATCTGTTGATGAATTAGCATAGGAGATTGTCCAGTGTATCTTCCCGTCGATATAAATAGGACCCTGACGTGTATTGAAATAAATATCTTCGACATCTCTCCATGACTCTTCGGCGCCCAGAGTGCGTATGGATAGCTTGCCCGGGGACCCTTCTTCTGGGCGAGAAAAGTTGTAGCCATGATCTTTAGCAATCACAACTACTTTGTACTCTTTCGTTGAGGGACTGAAGCCCAGCCCGACTGAGCAACTGAAAATATCCTGCATCGGGTAAGCAGGAAGCGTGCTGTACTCAGCACAGAGAGGATTACAAATCTCAATAGGTTGCCGGTAATCATTAGGCCTAAAGCAGAGAAGTCCGTTGCAGGTGTTAGCGAGCTTGTAGTCGTCCTCGTTCCACGTACCGTTATTCCACGTCGCGAATGACTGTCTTTTGAGGATATGCCATATCTTAGGCTTCCCTGCGACGTAGTCTTGGGCCAAGGAGATGGCGATGATGGAGAGGTTTCCGTTCCTTCGGTTGGAGAAGAAGAGAGGCGTAGGATTGTCAGAGGGCAAGTGGTCGCAATGCAGGCTTCGGAGATGATGGTCCTTGTGCATAATATCTCGCCATGCCTTTGAAACGCACGCAGAACGAAGGAGCGACTTGGTCGGAGTTCTGGGGAGGATTTCAAGAAGCAATTCTTCAGGGATTCGCTCCATTGATCAACTTTGAGAGAGAGGGTGAGAAAATAATTGATTGATAATTAGTTCTTCTCCTGGGTCTATATATAGACGTATAAGGCTTCCTAAAGTTTCAAGACTCCTAATGTAAGTAACAAAAAGATAAAATATTAAAGGCAACATCTATCAGATCTTTTATTTGGAAACAATTATTAACTTTAAAATACTTCCTATTGCATCAGAACTCTAAAATTATTAATGATTTCGGGTATGTTGCCAAAAAAAAAAAAAAACATCTTCTGTAATCATGGCGTAAACATATTCTGTAAGATTTCAAGAGACTATATAAACGCCACTCTGGATCATCATCATCATGAGCGTAAACATCTCATTAATGGATAATCATCATCATCCCGATGATTAGGGATCAGATCCCTGCTCAGATCCCTAATCTCCGTCTGCAACGGATTGCTCCTCCTCTCAAACCCTAATTCCCTCCGCGACGAGAAAGCGGGCGAAAATCCCAAAGCCGCCCAGGGTTTCCAGAGAGCTGGCCCTTGCTTTCAATCCCAATTCCGATACCCGCTCCTTCAAGATCGTATCTTTCCCGTTGCCGGGGGATGATCCCGTGCGCCGCCGTGGCTCCGACGAGGTCGACGTCTTCTCGTCGGATACCGGCAGCTGGAGCACTGTCGGTGGAATCGCCGGCCTCAGTGAGGTTTGCTCCGCAAACACCCGCATTGCTTGCTCAAAGAATGAATCTTTTTACGTTCTTGACGTCTATTACGGCCGTACTTTTGCGCTTGATTTGAAACTGAAGGAGTGTCGGCCGTTACTTTTAGGGGGATGTTGCATATTGCATTCGTAATGCGTGAGGCTATGCATGTCTGTTCTTTCATAGTCTGAAACAAATAAATTTATGTACAAATTGAAAAGTAAGGTTTAATTCAGACATCAACAAGCATGCCAAAGAAAGAAATAATAAAGATGCGCCAAATTAATTTCTAAACATTACATTAGCATAGAGACGCACCTGAATCATGAAGTCCTGAGGCGGCTGTTTTGGGCCACAGAGCTTTGCTCGGATGCCAGAATATCCTGGCTCTAGACATCCGTCCTTTAGATTAGTAGAATCTAGCAGATCGATCAGAGTTGACAGTATAATCAAACCTGGAGCATGTACAAACTATAAATTTCAGAATTCGCACACTATGACTGGAATTAGTAAGTGACGAGTAAACATAAATACCGGCAATGAAACTATAGAAAATATATGACGACAATGTCAAGAAGAAGTTACAAGAGAACATCAGAGTGGATAGTATGGGTTGTGCGTCGAAAGAAATTAAGGTAGGGGATAATGTACGTGTTATCGTTTTGTTTAGCTAGGGGATAATGTACGTGTTATCGTTTTGTTTCTGCTTAATCAGTCTAGTTCAGTATCTTCCAAAATTCATGTTTCTAGTGCCTGTAACCTCCCTAATTAACTGCATATGAGCTCTATTTCTGCTCAATCAGTACCTCGTTATCAGATTTTCCTATTTTGACATTTCTAGCAACTGTTGTTTACTTAATTGACATTTGAGCCTAACAAATTTTTAATCAATTATTTGTCCTTGTAGGCTGGAACATTCTTTTATTCACCAACAAACACTTCCGGCAGATTACGAGCATATCAATAACATATATGCATGGTAATTAAGGTAAAATTTTTATAACAATCATATGTATCCAATGTTTTAAATATCAGCCGATAAACCGATATTATCGGCGAATTATTGGTTTTGGGGGCCTTCCGCTATGATAAGTTCGATTCTAAATCGGTTATCGTTTTTGGAAGTTTATCGCTGATAATGCGGCGATAAAGTGAGTTATTGGCCGATATTGTCGGCCCAAAAATAGGAATTATCGGCCTTTGTTTGAGTTTTGACTTCGGGTAACGAGCACCTATCAAATGGACTTTAAAACCCGACCCGACCTGAGTTTTACCTTTGGTTAGTGATTCTAAACATAATTTTTTATATTTACATTTTGGTATGTTTATATTTCATTACATATGGTTAGATTAAACTTTAATATACTATATTATGTATATCACCATCCGGTAATGTCACTCTGATAAATACTACTTATCCCAGATATCCGCTATTTGATATGAATTTTGACCGCCCGATAAATCCCCACAAACCAATATTTAAAACATTGTATGTATCTTCCTCAAAACAATCCTTATTCTGTCTTCTTTTGGAGCTAGCCGATACACTTTTTGAATAAAAACTTGTTGAAGACCCATTTGTTGTGCTAGACTTTCCTTGCACTCTTGCCTAGTTTCTAAAACTTGTTATATTTTGTAATGGTTTTTCTTTCTGAAAAGCGAAGTTTTTTACAAGCCATTTTTCTTGCTTTGTTAACAGAATCCTTAACTCTTCCAACTTTTCTTTGCTCAATCATGTTTCATTTTGCAGATGACCTTGTTTAATTATTTATGAAAATGGATATATTATGCCATCAACCAGCGGCTATAACATCAATGACTTAAACTTAAACCCTTATTTCAATTTGCCTAATAAAACGTATATAGTAGATATAGGATGATGATGTGTAAATGTATTCCCAGGCTCTGCGGATTCTAAGCGAGACAAATACAAGATTTTGTGCAAGTATAACCTGATTACATGTGTAGACAAATTATGTGGCAAATGTAGACAAATTATGTGGCTAATGTATATGTAGGGGGAAAAAGCATACATGATGAAGAAGTCGTCTTTGACTTTTCCCTTTTTGGCACTTCCAAAAAGAAAAAAAGATCCACCTTGATCAAACTTCTTTGCCTTTTCCCTTGTTCAGGAATTCAAACCTGTTTCTAAAAAATGGCTGCTGCTAGATCATGTTGTTTTAAGAGATCTCAAATTTAGAATCAACAGTAAAAAAAAGATAATCTGAAACTTGAAAACTTTTCTCAAAGATTTGAGATAGCAATAACATAAAATCTGAAATTTCTATATATAGATAATGATAATTTTAAAAATTGTCATTGCCCATGCCTGTGCATGTGTGTTTGTGTGTGCGCACATGCATTCATGTATGCGAGGTGTGTTCATGCATGCATATATAGTGCATGCATGGGTGTGTAATGCATGCATGTGCCTCACGGACATGCATGCAGAAGTGTGAGTGTCAAGAACCTTTGAATCTGAAGAAAATATATTCGGAGATATCTTATTCTACTCATTTTATATTCATCAGATTTATCAGAATCCATGTACATCAAACTGACTCACATTGCTGACTATGCTCCTTCGCTACATCTGCAGATCATGGCCGTCCTTTACAAATTCCATCATGGCAGATGCTCATTGTGCAACAAATTTTCAGCACCAGGTTCATCATGGGCTCATTGTGCAACAAAGGTAATTTCCGGATTATAACATTTTAGCCTATTTTTTAAAGTAGTTGTGGAGGCTGAAGATCATATCATGTGATAACAATGTTAGTTTCCTTTCAGCTGTATTGGATAACGTGTTTGTCAAAATATTTGCAATGTCTTATTAATGCTGTTTATAAGTAACTGATTCATAGTCTTGTGCCTTCCAACACAAGTTAAAACTTATTTTAGTAGATCTCAAATATAGTATCATACTACTTGAAATAGAAATTTTATACTTTTAACTTAAAACAGGAAGAAAACAATCTCATAGGATTTGATATTTAGAAGCATAACTCTTACCAAATTTAAGCAGAAGAAAACGAAAGCAAAGAACTTACAGTTTGCGCCCGCCAATAGATAAGATTATATCTTTATTATGCTCCACAATATATTACAAGAGAAGATATTTTACAAGAGAACACTCAAGGAACACCCAAAATACAATACTCAAGCACCTTATTTTTTATTCTTCTTCTGATCGCGCTTTTAGACCTTCAGCCTTCCTTCTCAGCCTTCCTTCTAATTTATAGTCTTGGAAGGAATCTTTAAAGTGGTCGACAGCTTCCCGAAATTTCTCTGAAGTGGCACACTAATTTCAAAGTAGGAAAGCGACCCGCATAATAGACAGTAGCCGCACTAATTAGCACAGTAAAAGGTGATGGCGACATTTAGAATAGTAAGATTCTTTCTTTAAGGAAAGTAGCTTTTAAAAGCTGCTTTATAAAGCTGCTTTTTAGAAAGAGATGCTAGACGGCTCCCCGAGGCTCAATCTAGTATTTTGTCTGCTTATAAAGCTGGGCTTTTACCTTTAAGGTCGGGTGGATTATTGAATATTTCTGCCCAGATGTCTTCAGGATCCTGAGCATCTTGAATATGATCCAACCAGGTGTATCTTTTTCCATAGAAGAAGCATGACTATTAGTCTTTGGTTCGTCAAAAGCTTCAAAGAATTGCCTTTTAAAATATTCTAAGCACTTCTGCTTAATTTCGGCTTCAGAGCTTTGAGGATATTTTCGCCTTATTAAGGCTGTCATTTTAGTCATAGGATTATCTTTTTTGACTTCTTGAGTCATATTTGACTCTAACAGAGACTTATTTCTCTGAATAATTTCTTCTAATTCTTTAACTTTGGTCTCGAGACAGATCCCATTCCACCATCTGCATTGGTACGTTCTTTTAAGAATAGGAATATGTGATGGGGTCCAGTCACATATGAGCGACCAATTCCAAATCCAAGGAATCTCTACTTCTGCAAAGAAGTGTGCAAAGCACATGCCATCTATAAGCTGGCTTTCATCCATTCGTGATAATTTTGGATGGCTGTCGACCCATGAAGAATATAGCTTCAGAAGGGGTTCGGGAATAATTGCAATTTCAATTCCATAGGTTTCCCACCATTTATAAAACCAATTAGGAACTCCCTTTTGAAGGGCTTCAGGACATAGCTTGATAAGCTATGTATGTTTTTGTTTTGGGTTCTGATATAAGAACAGATCAAAGAAAGCTTGTTTATAGTCCCAATAGTTGAATTTGTAAACTTCTTTTGTAGCTTGAACTCTTACCAACGGTAATTCTTCATTGGGGTTTATAGCCCAATTGCGAGGAAGTATAACTTCTCTGATAACACATTTGCTAAATCCAGGAGGAACAGAATGATTTTCTGTAGTCCAAAAATGGGTTATTTCCATTCCTTTTTGACTTAATAAAGTCCTTATCCAAGCTCTTGATTTTAAAGAAAGAGTAGGATAGTAAGTGTCGTGAAGATATCTTTGCCGAATTGTTTCTGGTTCTTGCATTAAAGCAATATCTTCGGGTTCTAAATATAGAACTATATCTGTATGAGATTTTTCGAACCATTTAGTTTCCTCTTTTACTATATTAGTAAAAGGTTCAGGAGTATTTTCCTGATCTACGATATCTCGTACACCTTTATAAAAGGTTTTAGTATGAGAAGAGTTATGCTTCTTTGCAATAGTTCGCCAAGATGTTGGCTGTTGAGATGGAGTATGACTCCTATTTGGTATTGTTTCTTGACCTATGACGTCAAAATTAGAATTTGAGCTACTGCCGCCTCCTCTCCCCCTCCCTGAAAAGGAGGGATTACTCCGTCTCATTTGTACCCTGTAAAAATTCACGAGTTAGAAAATCTGGGAGATGATTAGAGTCACCTTTAATATATTCAATTTTAAATTGATATATTGCTAATTCTTAAGATAGATAACATTTCTTTTTTAATTGTAGAATAGTTAAACTGGGCTTTATCCCATTTGCCAGAGGTAAAACGAACTAATTGTTCCTTTTTGGTTTGTGGGTCCACTTGTTTTAATATACCACCATAACCAATATTTGAAGCATCTGTTTCAACTATTTTAAACCAGTGAATATTTGCAAGGTGAATACAAGGTAAATTTTTAACTTTAAGTTTAATTTTTCTTACCGCAGCAGTATGTTGCTGTGTCCAAGGCTTAGCATTCTTTTTAAGCCTATCATATAAAAGAACAGTATCTTTGGCTAAATCTTTATAATAATCAGCTACATAATTTAAAGCTCCCAAAAATCTTTGTAACTGTTTTATATCAGTTATTTCGTCTGGGAATTTTGATGCAAATTCAATACTTCTATCGATAGGAATAGTTGTTCCTTTGTTAATATTATGACCCAGAAATCTAATCTGAGTTTGAAATAATTTCATTTTTGGGGCAGATATAGCTAACCCATTTTTTATGGCTAAAGATCTAAAAGTCTCTAAATGTTTTACATGTTGATCGAAACTATTAGAAAAGATCAAAATATCATCTATATAAGATAAAATAAAATCCGTATAAGGAATAAAAATATCATTCATAATATTTTGAAATTCAGAAGGGGCGTTTTTAAGCCCAAATGGCATAACATTCCATTCATAGTGTCCAAATGGGACAACAAAAGCAGTCTTATACTTGTCTTTTTCTTCTATCTGGATTTGCCAGTAGCCTGATTTTAAATCAAACTTAGAAAATATTTTTGCATTAGTAATGCGATTCAACAAATCCCTTTTATTAGGAATTGGATATCTTATCCATTTAAGGACAGAATTAAGAGGTTTATAATTGATTACTAATATTGGAACATGACAAAATACTAGATTGAGCCTCGGGGAGCCGTCTAGCATCTCTTTCTAAAAAGCAGCTTTATAAAGCAGCTTTTAAAAGCTACTTTCCTTAAAGGAAGAATCTTACTATTCTAAATGTCGCCATCACCTTTTACTGTGCTAATTAGTGCGGCTACTGTCTATTATGCGGGTCGCTTTCCTACTTTGAAATTAGTGTGCCACTTCAGAGAAATTTCGGGAAGCTGTCGACCACTTTAAAGATTCCTTCCAAGACTATAAATTAGAAGGAAGGCTGAAGGTCTAAAAGCGCGATCAGAAGAAGAATAAAAAATAAGGTGCTTGAGTATTGTATTTTGAGTGTTCCTTGAGTGTTCTCTTGTAAAATATCTTCTCTTGTAATATATTGTGGAGCATAATAAAGATATAATCTTATCTATTGGCGGGCGCAAATTGTAAGTTCTTTGCTTTCGTTTTCTTCTGCTTAAATTTGGTATCAGAGCCATGTTTATTATCTGCATGTCTGCTTAAATCTTTGTTACAGTTTATTTTTTGAATATTAGCTAGTAAGAATGTAGAATATTTATATGTTCTTTTAATTCTCTTTTTAAGAGTCTAGTTTGCATGCTTATGGGACGTCACCTAAGTCGCGCTGTGTAAATCCCAGTGTTGCCGAGATGGTTAGGGTAGTGTAAGACGTTGACAGACGTGTAAGCTTTCAGCTAGATTGTTTTAGAGAAAATCAAAAGAAAAATAAATAGTCTACTTCCTTACTGGAATGATATTTAAGAGATAAATCTGTAACAAGAGAACTTTATGTTAGATATTGTGGAGACTTCGGCTCGACCGTCCAGTTATACTGGACTGAAGAAGGTCAAAAACGCTCAATTAACAGAATACGAAACTGATATAGAGTCCCTTAATAAGTGGACTATACCTGATATCCCTAATAGGGAAATATACAAAATTGGATTTCTCGACTATAAGTCGTTGATTAATATTAAAACTCTAGAAAGGACTACTACAGTCGATAGAGAAGATCAAACAATACAACTCTTAGGAGTTGCAGATATAAATCCTTATATGGATAAATACAAATATTTGCATATAGGTCTTATACAGATTGCATTTCGTCTTTTGACGTTATCAGGCTTAAACGCCTCTTTACTAGTCTGTTTAAGAGACTCACGATGTTTGAATTGGACCCAATCTTTAATGGGTATTATGGAGACCAGTTTATGTAACGGTCCAGTTTATTTTAATGTATATCCAAATTTGAGCCTCTCATTAACAGATCCAAATATTTTAGAGGCTATTAGTCTTAATATAAAGACACACGGATACAATTATATTCCTGGATCCGAAACAATTGCGATAATATATCGAATCCACTATAAAGTATTAAATACTTTAGCTCCAAAAGCTAAAAATCATTCTAAACCAGGCAAAACTGTTCTGGTTGAAACTAATGTATTATCTTCCAATATAGCTGTGAATAGACAAATAAAATGGGATGAAATAAATTTCCCTGAAAATTGGGTTATACCCCATGCAATACAACCTTTACCCATTATTAACCAAGATGTTGACCAAATTGTACAAACCACAGATGGAGAAGTTGAAATAACATTCAATCCTTCTAGAAGTATCAGAATATCTGATGTGGCATCATCTGCCAGAAATTCATTCTCTAGATCTGGATCTTATAGAACCAGTTCAGTTCAAGGGATAAATATATCCGACAATAATATTCCACATGCTTTATATAAAGATAAAACTTCTCCTCCTAATACGGAGATGAGTTTTAGAATGAAGTAATGAATTTTGAAAAAGGAAGTCCTATAAGGGAAATTCTTAATACAGAATTTTACCTTGATAAAAACAAAGATTTTCGA